CTGAAGTGATGAATATTGGGAAGGGCTGGAGCAGATATGGCAATACGCATACAGAAGTGGTGGTGGTGGTGGTGGTAGTAGTAATAGTAGTCGTCGTCGTCGTAGTACTAGCAGTAGCAGTGGCAGTGGCAGTGGCAGTGGCAGTGGCAGTGGCAGTGGCAGTGGCAGTGGCAGTGGCAGTGGCAGTAGGAGCAGGAGCAGGAGCAGGAGCAGGAGCAGGAGCAGGAGCAGGAGTAGTCGTAGTAGTAGGTTGTAGTCCTAGTCCAAGTCCTAGTCCTAGTCGTTGTCGTAGTAGTAGTAGTAGTAGTAGTAGTAGTAGTAGTCGTAGTAGTAGTAGTAGTAGTAGTAGTAGTAGTCGGAGTAGTAGGAGTAGTAGGAGTAGTAGGAGTAGTAGGAGTAGTAGGAGTAGTACGAGTAGTAGTAGTAGTAGTAGTAGTAGTAGTAGTCGTGGTGGTGGTGGTGGTGGTGGTGGTATTGGTAGTGGTAGTGGTAGTGGTAGTGGTAGTGGTAGTGGTAGTGGTAGTGGTAGTGGTAGTAGTATTAGCAGTAGTAGTAGTAGTAGTAGCAGCAGTAGTAGTAGTAGTTGTTGTAGTTGTAGTTGTAGTAGTAGTGGTAGTGGTAGTGGCAGTAGTGGTGGTAGTAGTGTAGTAGTAGCAGTAGCAGGAGTAGTAGTAGTAGCAGTGGTAGTAGCAGTAGTAGTTGTTGTCGGAGTAGTGAGACTAGGAGTAGGATTTGGAGTGGGAGTGGTTGTGGTAGTAGTAGTAGTAGTAGTAGTAGCAGCAGTAGTAGTAGTAGTACAGTAGTAGTAGTAGTAGTAGTAGTAGTAGTAGTAGTAGTAGTAGTAGAGTAGTAGCAGTAGCAGCAGCAGGAGCAGTTGCAAAACCCGAAGCTGGTATGGACATCCACCAAAGCTTCCGCATGGCAATTCCGTGTCCTCAGCCTCGACGGCCCATGCAATTAGCACCCACTGGCCAAAAGACCTTTACCAGGCTGGGGCGTAGCTGTCTTCCGTGCCGGCGAGGGCGAGAGGCATGATCAAGGGCTAGGAGCTATTTGTTAGCGTATCGTAAACCAATGAAGAATAGCTGTCGCCGTGGTCATCTCAAATCGGTGTAAATTCGGGCATTGAGGCTTGCAGATGCAGAACTCTAGCGAGATAGACCACTGCAGTCCCAAATCTCTCCTTCCATCCACGAAGCAATGTTCAACCTAGCGAAATCATCCAAAGCCATCCAAAATCGGCGGGCCTCCCTCGAACCGGCGCTGGTAGACTGCGCCGCGAAGGCCACAGATTGATGCATATGTTTTCACGGTGTAAGCGGATCTTAACTCCAAGTAGCGCAAGAAGTTCTTCAGCATGTCTCGTAGGACGTTCAGGGCTGATGGGTCTTGGCGGACTGCACACTCCTGCCCAGGGCAGCGACGTGGAAGCCATTGCTGGACTTGTTTGGCCCCGTCGTGACGGACAGTTCGTCAGAGCTTCCCGGCGATCCCAAGAAGACCCGAAACCTGCAACGCCACGACAGCTCCACCGGAGATGGGCATTGTAGGAATCCTGACGGTAAGAACGGCGACTCGAGCCCAGGCCAACTCAACGCGAAAGAATCTGTGTCCAAACTCTTGTCGCGTTTCTTCGCATGTCGGGGCTCAGACATTCAGGGCGTTGGGCCACGCAGCGAGTCGTTTTGGTTAAACCGTGGGAGTCTACTGGTACCAACGTATCGAGAAACCTACCTTCATGATTCTTGATCGCATGTAGCAGTACATTGTATTTCCGGTTTTCCAAGAAGCTCCGTCCCTCCTGGACCTGCTTGCAACAGATGCAAAGGCGTTCGATGCCGGGCAGTCTCCACGCTTTTGGGTGAAGGGCTTAGGGGTTGAAAGTCTTGCAGGTCCCAGCCTTGGGACCACGACGCTGAGCCAGACGTCGAAGGTGCAACACCCTAAAGGCCAAAAAGCATGCAAGAGCCAGGCTACAGCAGACCAAAGATGACCAAAGCTAATCAGTGCGAGGATTCTCCGCGCGCATCGCACGTGGGGTCAATGCTTGTAATCTGCCAGCTCGCCCGGCGGAAGGTTTTTTTTTTGAGGCCAATGGCAGCACAAAAGGACAGTTTCGTTCAACACATTTGTTCCCCTCCTTGGGTGTGGGGTTTTTAGATTTTAAAATCAGCTATTTTGCGTTCTACTCCCAGACTCCTGGTCCGGTCTCCACCTGAGCGTGCTCATCCCCAGAGAGTTCCTGGAGTGCCCAACCCGAATCCATGATGCGAAAGTCAAGACCCGAAATGGAACAGTTTGAAAACTGGAGTGCTGGAAGGTAAGTTAGTGCCGTGTCGTTAAGACATGTCCGATGAAACTTAGGACACATTAAGCAGAAAATAACACCTCTTATTCTTGTAGGGGTTGCTTATGCCATGTACATAACTATTGTTTCGCAGGCAAACATGACAGTCCCACCTGTACCCGTACAGAAAGCCGTAATGGCATAGCTGACCCTTTTCGTCAACTGCGTCCATTAAGTTTCTATCTAGTCGTGCTGGTTGTTTGTCCTGGCTTATCAGTCTGTGTGCAAGCGCCCAACCCGAAACACTTGGCGTGGCATGTCCGGGAATGAGCGCCGAAACGCGTAAAGCGTAAACCCTAAGGCTGTCATTGGGAGCTGAAACTGGCTCGAACAACACCGGCGAGCTTTCTGCCATGGCAGAGGTCAGATGCATTCAGATGCTTCCTGCAAGTTACGTAACTTAGAGGTTTGAATAATTAGACATAATGCACCATGGTAAGATCCCCCTTATAATTAGTCGCTATATGACCATACCACATGTAACCCGAAGCCCTATTCAAACTATGTTCAGGCTTGTATTGGCCAGCGTAGCGGTCCAACGTGGCAAGCACGGTAGACGCTTGAAAGACTCCAGCAACAAGCAGGAGTACAGTGCCGCAGCACATGCAAAACAGCAGCGGGACGAGCAGAGCAGCAACAGGAGTAGTCCAGGAGTAGTAGTAGTGGTCGTCGTCGTCGCCGTCGTAGTAAATCGTGGTGGTGGTAGCAGTAGCAGTAGTAGTAGCAGTCGGCGTCGTCGTAGTCGTGGTCGTGGTCGTAGTCGCAGTCGCAGTCGCAGTCGTAGTCGAGTCGTGATCCAAGTCGTCGTCGTTATTGTCGTCGTCTGGGTCGTCGTGTGGGTAGTAGGTACAGGTAGTACGTAGTAGGTAGCAGGTATGGGTAGTAGGTCGGCAGTCGGTAGTTTGCAGTCGGCAGGCGTCGGGCATCGGTAGGAGGTAGAAGTGGTGGTGGTGGTGTGGTGGTGTGGTGGTAGCACGAGTCATTGACAGACTTGTTACGAGGAGGAGGAGCAGGAGAAGGAGAAGAAGAAGGAGCAGGAGAAGGAGAAGGAGAAGGCAAAGGATAAGGAGAAAGAGCAGGAGCAGGAAGAGGAGCAGCCGGCAGCAACAGCAACGTTCGTAGCATTGAAGGTGGTCTTACTTAGAGCTTGCGCTGGCGAGAACTGTAGACTTCCTCAGAAATAGCGGCAATGATCACGACGACAAGTAGCAACCGCGATGTTGCAGGGAGGCGCTCTCCTGCGTGCCAATATCTCCATAAGTAGAGCCTATACCGGCAAAACGAAAGCTGCCAAGCTCCCCCCGTTTATTCAAAATTTTCGAATCCGGACCTCAGCCCCCAAGCCCGGGCCGTCAAAATGTCTTCCGGACTGAACCGGGAGGCCTTGCTCTGGCTGCGGGATGAGGCTCTGCCCTGGATAGTCTCAGTTTCCGGAGTTTTTTACAACAGGTTGTATAGACGTCCTTTCTTGAAGGGTTTCGACAAGAGTTTAGGTTTCCTCAGCGGTGTCAGGTCGCATGCTCTCCTTGCTGTAGGTTAGGGGAGCGTGTGTTTGGCTAGACCGTGCTGTTGGACAACGAGGCCTGTTTCAAAACCGTTGCTCCCAGAAGAGCGTATAGAACGGTCTTTTTGATTGGCAATCACAGCCAACGAAGTGATCATCCTTAGGAACACAGCCATTGAGACGAGTAACTCCAGATTATTCGGAGCAAAAGACAAAGATAGTCTAACACCGGGCTGTTCCATCAAATCTCCTGATGGCGCACTTGACCAGGCTCCGACACTTGAGGGTGCCGTACTTGTCTACGACTCCGAGCAGCTTGGCATCAAGGGAGCATGGCTGATATCTATATCTATATCTGTATCTAT